ACTGTTAACTTTTCTCAGTTAACTTTTAATAAAACTCAGTTAACCTTTCTCAATAAAAAGGCCAGCTATGTTGTATCTTGTATGAAGTAGAATGCTGGGCAGTCGAGAAACAACATATCTGAAAAATGAGTGGCAGAAATGCATATACTAAGATGGATGAGTGGAAAAATTAGAAAGGATAGGGTCTGAAATGAAGCCTATGAGTATCTCCAATAGGTGATAAAGGAGAGAAAGTAGACTAAGATGGTTTGTCACATGCAAAGAAGACCACCAACAGCACTTGTTAGAAGAAGATGTGACACCAATCAAATGTAAGTTGACTTCTGGTGCAGTGATGCTGCTGTCCTAGGCTGCTGCAAACAATCAAAACATGGCCACACTTATTTGAGAGACTCTTAATCTTAACAGTAGGGATGCATGGAAACATGGGAAAAATGACCGGTTTTGTTTGTCCATTGGAACCTGAGCATGACTGCAAAACAATCACAACATGACCACACTTATTTGAGACTCTTAATCTTCACATTATGGACACATGGAAACATGGGAAAAATGGTAAATTTTGGTTGGTCCATTGGAGCCTGAGGATCATTGCAGCAAAATTGAACTTGAAGGACATTGTCTTTATATGAGCTGTGTCTTAATTGATATTAAGGAAATATCTTTTGTTTGCTTCACATAATTATCTCTAATATTTTATTTCATCTTGGTATTGGGTATATGCTATAATCTTATTTGGGCATTCAATGCAAATCTTTAACATCATTTTGAAGTGATGAATTCTTTTATTGAATATGATCAGGCCATTCTTCCACCCCATCTTGAAGAGCACCAGAGGCTGAGATGTAGAGTTGCTTTTCATGCTCTTAGGTTTCGACATGAGGTCCAAGAACTTGCAACTAAAATTCTAAATAGGTTATAAGATACACATTACCTTCTTACTAACTATCCTCTTATTCAATTAACCTTGTACCTTATCTCATATCTATGATTTTTCAGGATACGATTTTCTGGACGACCATATATAGCCTTTTATCCTGGGATTACTAGAGATGCCTTAGCATATCATGGTTGTTCTGAGCTCTTCCAGGTACGTAGTCTGGTCTTTCATGATATAATGGGAGTTCCCAGATCTGCAAAGCTTATTAGTTTCTGTTTTGTGTAAATTGTGTCTCATCTCCAACAGGACGTCCTTACTGAACTCATTCAGCATAGAAGGTCATGGATGATTAAACGTGGGATTGTCAAGGGGAACCTTTCCATTGATTCTGCCAAACAACGTCTTAATGGCTTATGTCCACTGATGCCGGAAGAGGTAAGCTGCTCTGAACTCCTGACAACGTAATTTGAGTGTTGAAGATGAGCCTTATAGCCTAAACTCTATGCATATCCAGTCGGCTCATCAAGTTTGTACATATTGGTTCACATTGCTTGAATAGGCCATTGTCTAAAAATTCAACCAGTCAACTATGACCCCTTAAAGCTATGACTTTTGTCTCCTGGAAACAGAAGGTGATTGTCAGGATTAGGCAATGGGGTCCATAGTTTGGGTGGTCAGATGCTTTTTATTACTTGTTTTCTGGGCTATGCACCACCAAAATGGTGGATTCCTGGTTTAACCATCCAAACCACAGAGTTGCTGGGCCATGTTTTATGTTATAGGGGTTCAGTTAGCATCATTTTTCTTTTCTTTTTTGCAGAGAGCTTCGTGTATCATATGGGTACTCACAGGTTGGCATGTAAACTATAATAAGTTTTTGTTTCCCACAGGTTGGCATTCTTCTTCGTGCATATGGGTATTCATCAGACACAATAATATATGTCTCTGGGGGAGAAGTATTTGGTGGCCAGAGGGTATTGATTCCTCTTCATGCCATGTTTGAGAATGTTGTTGACAGAACATCCCTAAGTACTATCAGTGAATTAAATAGAATTTATGGGCATGAGGTTAGCCTGGTTAGCACTTCTCAGCCTGCCCCACCTATTGAAGAAGAAGCAAAACTTGAAGCATGGAAAACCTCAGGTCCTCGTCCTCGGCCACTGCCACCACCTCCAGCCAGGCCTAAATATCCATACAACATTGAAGGCTGGTGGGGTTGGGTAGCTGAGAGTGATAATGAGCCTGAAAGTACAATTATGGAGTTGAGAATCAATGCTCATAAACTACTATGGGAAGCAGTTGATTATTTGATTTGTATTGAAGCTGATGTTTTCATCCCTGGATTTGATCGGGATGGCAGGGGACGTCCAAATTTTGCAAGCTTGGTAACAGGCCACAGGCTCTATCAGTCAGCTGCATCTAAAACATACAGACCTGACAGGTAAATGCTCTTCTAGATCTTCACTAGTTTCAGATAGTTTTGAATAATGCTGATGGCATAATTAGGAACTGATGAAAGAAATACAACAAAACAATTATTTTTTTTTGAGTTATCCAACAAAACTATTAATGTATGCTTTTGTTAAACTTACAAAAAAAGGGTCATGCGTTAGCCTTAGCCCTGAAAAGCTTTACAAAGAGCCACCCCTACACCCAAAACAGCTTACCAATTGAAAACAAACCCTTCCTTTTAAACAAGTTTAACTCATTCAACATCAATTCCCAATGCATTAGAAAAATTGCATACAAGTGTGAAGGGCCTTTCAACACTATAAAAAATTCTGTGATTCCTTCCCTTCCAAACTGAGCAGAAGATCACTAAAGAATCATAATCCATAACCTTATTCCTTGGGAACCAATAGGACAAATGACCACGATGATAAAACCAAGATTCATAGTATTGGAAACACAAGATGTATCGGTAAAGCAATTTTAAAAGATGTATTGGAAGATAGCCACACTCAACACGAGATGACTGAATACCTTATTCCTCCCACTTGTAGCTTTTATAGCTAGCTTAATGGATAGATAAATTCAACTTTAAATTTGAATATTGCTAAATGTAGCATTGAATAAAGGAGTTAGTTTAAGGAATATAGCATTTAATAAGAGTTATTAAGAGAGCGGGAGTACCATAATAAAAACTGGAATGAATCAGCTGATACATACATAGTATCAGCCTCCATCAGGTTCGTATCAGCCGATACAGATCCAAAACGACCCAATATGGGCGCCTGTATCAGGCTGATACAGACAAAAAGAAACAGAACTCTTGGTTTTGTTGCATTCCACGTACAGGCTCCCACAGAAGCAATATGTATTGGCCAATACGGCCTGATACGTTACGAATTTTAAACCTTGGATAAAACAATTAAAAGGTAATGTAAAATTTAACTAGAAAAACACAAGTGAAATTTATCCTTCCAAAAAATGGAATTTAGGTCCAGGTCAAAGTCCTTTACTTTCTCTTTCTTTTTCTGAAAATCCATTATTGCATTGTGATATGCATTAGTCCATTGGGACATCCAATTTTTTCTTTCTGGGAGTTTTAGTCACATGATATCGGATGCGGGACCATCCTACTAGATGGTTTGGTCCTTCCTTTTTTTGGTTCTCTGTGAATATATTGACCTTGTTTTTTACCATTTTTGAATGACTAATTTGACCGTAAGGTTAGGATCATGCGGTCATAGTGAATTTAAGATTTCTTGATCTACTGGGTAAGCTCTTAATTTGGTCCAAATATACTCTCAAAATTGGCTTAGTTGTGGCAGTTGATCCTCTAAGCCATACTCTTGCTGTTTCCATTTTAACAGTAGGCTGGGACTGTAGACTTCACTGTATTGCATATATCATTCTGTAATAAACTAATAATATCTATATGTAACTTCTGGTCAGCAAATTATTATGTTCTTTGATAGAATACATGTCCAAATCATTTATTCAATTACTGTTGGCTAATATCAGGTAAAAATTTTGCTCCAATGCTTTTGTGAACACAGAAAAGAAGTTGCCAAGCTTTTAGATGAAAACCGGGACCATCTATATCAGGCAAACCAAACTTGGTTGACATCAATACGCAAGCATCTCAACAAAACCTTATTTGACGGACTAACCGAGGCATCCACAAAATTGAAACCACTCTCTTTTCTCTCACATCCAGTCCCAGAATGTTCATGCTGGAGGCATGATAATTTAGAAGAATCAACTCATGGTAGAGATCTTTCAATTCACGAACTTCAGGCTGCCCTGGGAATAGAATATCGTTGCCCTTCTTGGATGGACAATAAAGTGGTTTCATTGTCACCAAAGGACAAGGCAACTGAAGAGGACCTTGATGAAGATATTGTGTCGGGAATGTTTTTTCGGCATGGCAATGGTGACCATGGAATTGGTGGGGGAGAAACAAATACCAAAGAAGAAACCCAAATGGAGGATCAAGAAGAACTTGATGGTGGAGAAAGATAATATCTTAAATGGGTTTCTCAAAGTGTCCATTAAAAAAAAGTAAGTTCCTATAGTGTTAGGCTTTGTTTGCAGCCATGTACATATGGATCGATTTCATTTCCTGGATCAAGAGCCTGGGAAGGTTGGAGATCGTCTGGGTTTTTTATTACAGCAGGTTAGAGAAAGCTGGGTCTAACTTTAGGCCAACCATTCAGTGACTGGGCTGCGGCGCATAGCATTTGCCCAAGTCTGCTCTGCCAAGTCAGCTCAGATAGATATAAAAGCTCTCTTCATTAGTATTGGGCTCTGTAACTTAGTCAAATTTTCTTTGTGGCCTAAGAAAGTTTTGTTGAATTTTCCATAATCAATTTTGTTGTAAGCTTAAATGCCTTTAATGGAAAACACAAATTTTAACCTCTACTTCCCAGTTCCCACGTAGAAGCTAGAAGGTGTAACTTCTATGATTTTTTTTTTTCTTTTTCTTTTTTAAGTAAACATGGACAAGATCTAAAAGAACTGATGAATAGTCAAGATTCTTTCTGGAATAGGCCAAGCTTTAACTGCTACATAAAATCATAACCAATAACCAAAAGGCGAGGGTTACTTTTTTATTTCATGAGCGGTTGCTTTTATTTAGGCAGGTTTCCTTGCATCATGGATTAAAAACAGTCATGTTGGGGTGCCATCATGTAATATATAAATAAAGTCTCAATACTTGTACAATTTATTTTTTGTGTTTGTTGAAGATGACATGGTATCATCATTGATACTTTGGGTTTCACACCAGATCAGAGATAAAGGTTGGGTGAATCTTGTAAACCTCCACAGTAAAAGAATTAATTAAGTAGTCTCGATCTAATCATTTATGATTAACTAACTAAATCGACCACCACTTGCTACGAATTAAAATTAATCCACCTTTGGGAGATGTAGCTTATGGAGTTTCCACTTTCTGGACGTTCATTTGTTGGTAGATGGAGGGTTGGGCGGCGACAGAGTTGGTTAATTGGAAAATAGGAAAGTGATTAATTCAAAGTTCTTTTTCGGTAAACTATGGGTCTTACGGTAAATTGATTTTTTTATGGATATTTGTATTAACAAAACTGTTGGGTAAATCTAATGATTGCATTTTAGGGATAAAGATGGTCAAAAGAATACTTACCAAGAAAACACTTCGATCAGAAGAAAAACTTTGTGAGAGAGAAAAGACCATTAGACCAGTAAAGCTCGAACATGAAAATATTGGAAGGTTCATCGATGCCTCGTAATTAGCGTGACATTTTAGATGCTGACAGTATTTTGGCAGATTAATAGTTTTCAGGAAAATACTGCTTCAACACTGCGTCTGTATAGAAATGGTGGGTTAGAGAAAAGTTTCCCGTGATCATGGTCAAAATGAAGACTCCTGCGTGTATCTTCTCTTTTGAAAAATCAAACCCAGGATCCCCGTATCTTGATACCCAAGAAACTTCGTGAATATAAATAAGAGCTGAACGACTAAACTGATAGCACTAGAAACTTTGAAGATTGATCATTCAATTTCATTCTTTGCAATCGAAACGTTGACAAAGTGTGCTGAGAGATTTGGTGTTGATCTTTTCATTACAAGGGTGATAATAAACAAGGAAGATGAGCAAAGATAAGAAGGCGAGGTGGTACTCACCATTGTTAAGATCATTGTCTTCATTTTTCTACAGATACAGAAGCTATGACAATATTGCGAAGGGGCTGAAAACGCCATCGCCTTCTGATCCGGAGGCGATCATGATAGCCGCGGCTAAACATTTCTCTACCGCTCATAAAGTGCGATTAGGCTAGTCTTTTTCCCTCCTGCTAAGGATACTAAAATTTCTGTCCTTCCCATTGTTCTTCATTCTTGTATATACTAAGTACTGGTTCAAGTCTGGGCTTTTGTCTGAAAATTAGTGTCGACAGAAAGCAATAAGCCATTGTTTTAGCTTAATCGAATTCCCCAATAAGACATATTGGATTGGATGTCTAAAATATTTATTAAATTGGATTGGACCTGGTTCATCGGTAATAAATTTATATTGAATTGGGTTAGATAAGTCGATATCCAATCTGTGTCAATGGACTGGTTCAGTTGAAACCAATCTAAATTAAAATGAATTTGAACAGATTAAATGGTCCAGACATTGAATTGGACCAGTCCAAATTAATTAAAAAAATTCATTGGATTGGATTTAACTTAATCCATTTATAATGGATTCACATTAAACTGGATCGGATTGGACCAAATCCAGTCCAATTGACACCCCTACGCATGCGGACCAGTTATTCCAGAGTGCTCTTGGCTCTAATTCCATGCCCAAGCATTATCAGAAGTTCAGAGCTAGAATTACTCTTTACGTTGCATGGGCTACATCCTATGACCAAGAGAGAGAAGTGCTTTTTGGAGCCTAACATCCTTATCACCTTTTCCAGTGGTTATTAGTTTTTCTATCTATTAAGTTACTATTTAATCCCCATCAAGACAAAGAACACTGTAAGCAAAATGGTTAACATAGGCTGCATCTGAGTTCTGACATGCTTTCAGAAAATTAATTCTGATGAATTACTGGAACAAAATATTCTTCAGGACAGGATTTGGAATAAAAAAACTATATTTACATATGCTTATTGTTACCTTACCCATATTGCCCAACCTGTCTAGAGATCGGTTTAAGTGCTTACACTGTTCCCACAGCCTTATACATCGTGCATTGAGAATATCTTTCGTACTTGTATGCTTTCTTGGAGAAATACACTACAGTTTACCGCAGAATTTTGAAATTACAGCCCCCCATAGTCTATTAGTAGCCCCCCTATAAACCGCATCTTGCATGTGGATTTGGCATTAATCCACGGTTAGGATTCATCCCACCTGTACAGTGGGGCTAAGAATTCTAAGGTGGACTAATTATATGTTTGGCATCGATGCTGCATATACAACCACTACGGTGTCTTTTTTTTTTGTTTGAAAACGTTCCTGCCAGATAGGACATTTCTTGGGGCAACAACAACACCTTCTGTTTAGTACCAGTGCTCCATATCTGTTTTCAGCACTGGTACCCATTATAGGAAGTCCACATCACTGCCACATCATGTCTTCGTTAGCAACAATGAGCTCTAAATTGAGAAAACATCGAATTTGACGTTTCCCAGACCACGCCTTTTCAAAGTCCAAGGTATGATTTGGAACACCATTTTTAATGGAAAAATGGTTTCAAACATACTACTATTTTCTGAAACACCAATTTTTCCAATATGAAACTGATGTATCCCCATTTTCAGGAGAAACGACATTGATACCAAACACCACCTAAGGGTTCATCCCACCTGCACTTGGGTTTTTCATCCAAGCCCAGTCTGGGTTGAACCTGCGTGAAGCCCACACTTTGTATGGGATGAGTGTAGAACACCTTAAGCCCGGAAAACCTAACCCAGCACAGAACTTAACATAATTTACATATAGTGCATGCATGTGCTTGTGTGACTTAAACTCGTACAGTACTTGTGTGTCTTGCTGTCTTTACATGTATAACCCCATTCAAATTTCTAATAGGGGGAAACTGTTATTCTCAGTATAAGAACAACCCAACATTTTGACAAAATAAAACTTATATACACAAACCTTTATTATTTTGGACATGAATTTAGATTTTAATTCTGAAATTGCCATAAACTCAACGCCTCTATTGTCTCTGTGGCTGTGAGCATACCTATATGCCCACGTGCACTTTCTTCCCTCATTTCTCATCCATATAGTTATTTATTTTTAAACCAATTTATTAAAATATAAGAAATCACTATTAAAATTCGGAATAAGGGCAATCCAGTACCAACCCTAAACATGGATCTAAGGCCCAGAACTAGACCCCAAGGTTAAAACACAAGCTTGCCAACCCAAATCCCACATAAGCTAGACCAACGCAACTTAAGATGGGATTAGATGAGTTTAGTTGAGGATGAATCTCCTGCAAACAAAAACTCTATGCACAATTGCACATAGTATGCTTGCAAAGTGTGTATAGAATTTTTGTTTGCAGAGAATTAACATTGTGGTTTGGTCAAGCTTGGATGGGTGGTTCAAGTTTCTTAGCCTTTTATGTTTTTATTTGTGAGGAATAATGCTTTGTTGAGTTTTTTGTTTATTTTTAATATAAACATTAATTATGTATATGTATAGTCATTTATTTTACTTCTCATATATTATAATTACCTAATACTATTAAACAATTGTTAATTTTGTAAGTCTCTTAATAAATTTATATTTAACCCCATGCAATGCATGGATTCACTTGCAATCAGCTCTGACTGGGTAGATTTAATGCCCATTTGGGAGGTCTGAAGTGCAGCGGCTTCTGGCATTTTGAGATGGGCCCCATATGGATAGCTTATGAAGTATGTTTGGTGAAAAATCTGGAGAGCACAAATCAATCATTTTTTGGGCTGTCCGCTTCAGTCTCTTTAGATAGCTTGTCCAGGGCACATTAAAGCAGTTAAACCAGCTTACCTGAGGCCTCATTTGGGAGAGCTTTAACATTGATTGAGCTGTATTGACTGAACCATCAAAAAAAAACCCAAAATAATTTCATTGAAAAGTTGATTTTTCAGATCATATAATGCCATGAGCCGCTTCTCAAAAGCTTTTCCAAACGGGCACTTAGTGGTTTTATTTATGCAAACTTTGATAGACTTTCTCTCATCTAATAGGCTAATAGCAGCAAGAAACCTTCCCGGAAGCTGTAAATAAAATCAGGTCATCAATGGACCATGATCAATAATTGGGGAAACGGCCGTTATGCGTTCTCCAAGGAAGCCGAAGTCTGAAATGCATGGTTGCACACTTTGAGGAGCCCTTTTCGTAAATTCATTGCAGAAAAGGACACTAACTACTGTTTTCTTTACTTTCTTCCCAAAGGTGATCCAATCCAAAGCGAGAGTTCATTTGAGGAGCGTTTGGAGTTTCTTTATTCAAGATTAATCCCTTGTTTCCTTTTCACCAATTGCCCCATTGACTAACGAAGAACTACTTCCAGCAAGAAGGATGAGAGTGGTACACTCTCTGCACCTTTCTTTTTGGGTACAAAGGAAACAAACAACGGCTAGGACATCCTAGCGTAGGGACAGCTGCAGCTGTCAGCAAGGAGAATGTATCTTAACTCCAAAGGAATTGTGTGAAATCCTCAACATGAACCGAGAGACCTTGCAGGTGGCGGAACTCTTGTCTTGGTGGGTTCTTGAACAATTTGATTGCATTCTTCCTTCATGTTACTGCATCTCCAGGTGGTGGGACTCTTATCTCTTGTAATGCTTCAGTGGCTGCTCTCCAAATCGCCATCAATAATTATGTCGTTAATCTGAAGATGTCTTGCTATTTTGTGGGCTTCCAGAGCAACTCTCATTTCAGCCACAGTTATCCAACCTTATACCTGTAAAGCCATGCTAACTTTTATAACTTCCTCTTTGTGATCTACATCTTTTGTTTCTCCCCAAAATGGGTAGAGATCACAGTTAAATCCTTTCTAAAACAATCTCTATTTAGTTGGTAATTTTTTCCTCTAAGGTTGCGTTTGGAAACGATGCAAATAGAGTGTAAATCTGGTTCACTTTTGCCTGTATTTGGCAACACTACATTTATGCATATTTACATTCACAAATAGAGTCTAAAACAATCTCTATTTAGTTGGTAAATTTGCACTTTGGTTCACTTTTGCCTGTATTTGGCAACACTACATTTATGCATTGACAAATGACAGGCCAATGCATATTTACATTGATTATAGGATGTAAAAGTACATCAATAAAAAAAAAAGTAAATTTGCATTCAAGTGGACTTTTGATAAAAAAAAATGCTTTACTGGAATTCATATTTGAATCCATTACAGATAAAAATCTGTTTGATAAGAAGGTAAATTTATCAATGCCAAACTAATTCAATTTTGCAATTTATATGAACCGTTCTACACTCTACATATTTACATTCATACTTATTTGCATCATTTCCAAATACAGCCTAAGAAGCATCCATGGAAAGAATTTGATCTTTGGGAAGAAGTTTATTTTATCAATGAATGTTGCTGCTTTTTTAACCTCCCAATCATCCTCTTTCTCATTGTTTGGCACGGCATATGCTGATTTGACTGAGAAATCTCCCAATGGATTTTTGCTCCAGACAATTTGGTCTTCAAAGTCATTGGCCGGGATGTGTATAGCCTTGATTTGGGATACAAGGTCATTTGGGATGATATCGTTCGTTTAGGCTTTCTGCATCCCAAGATTTTAATTCTCTATTAATTATTGTTTCTACTTTGTGATTATCACTTTGTTGATTTTCTTTACCATTTGAAAGTCAATTTTCCAGGGGTACGTTTCCTACTTGGGCATCTTTCCAAACGTTGCATGTCTTCCCATTTCCTATCTTTCATGCCAATCCTTTCTTTTGATGGCAAATGCTTTTCCAAGCCCATGAAGCACTTTTAGGGACCTTGAAAGAGGAAGGGGAGATGGTAGCCATTCCTAAGAATTTTTCTACTGCCCATGAAGTTTGTTTGGGTTCATTTGCTCTTCCAACATTGTACTAGCTTTTGGCTTTGTAGTTTGTTTAATAACTTGGATTAACTGAATGCAACGGCTGTGTACCGGGTTGTGGAACCAATGCTAATACCTAACCCCTGTCCTAAATGGTGATTGATGAATGATTAAGAGGTTCGTTGTCATATTAATGACTGGTGTGGAGCGTAATCATTGGTTATATAGCCTCTTATACAGTCATTGCATTCAGTTAATCCGATCTAAGTTCTTGTTCAGAGTCCTATAGTACATTCACAATAACCGGCTGTATTGGTAAAGCCAAATCTATCTTTTAATCAAGAACCATGAATTATAATTATAAGGTGTCAACTGGCTAATTGATAAGGTCTCTTGCTAGTTGTAATGGAGATTTAGGATTGGATCCCACCAAGTTTGGGGAGGGAGAAAAATTAATAGTGTATTTGGCCAATTTTAATTGTCGCAGATTCATAGTTGTATTGTAAGCATTTTTTAAGGGAGAGAATTGTCAACTCAACTGTGATATTGTGTGAAACAAAAATCCCTGAGGCTGCATTTGTTTGAGGTGTAAATTCAAAATTTACACCATAAAAAAATATGAACCGATTTAGTGAATGATGAAAGTTGAAACCGGTTGATTTTGAAAATTTACACCGACCATGTTTGGTTGTGTAAGGTGTAAATTAAAAAGTTTACTGCTGCTGCTGTTTGCATAAAAACTGGGTCTCGACGGAGCAACAGCCGCTGCTTTCACCGATGGACAGATCGCCCGGAAAGCTATTTGAAGATAGATCAAGGGATCGGAGGCTTACGAGCGAGGAGAATTCTGATGGAATTCTGCCAGAAAAGCGGTTGTTTCGCAGGTTTAGGATTTGCAATTTCCGGCAGTCAATGATTTGTTGAGGAATTTTGTCAACGAGGTGATTGTCAGGGAGAGAGAGCTCTCTGAGTTTCGTGAGACGACCGATTGCAGGAGAAAGGAATCCATCGAGCTGCTGCGATTTCAAGACAATTCTTGTGATGCGGAGCACTGGCGAGTCACCGGAGAATCTCCTCTCGCAGAAGATACCAGCGGCTGAATAACACGGGTTCTCTGGTAAGTAGCATTGACAGTTGAAACCACCCGGACAAGAGAGAGAGCACCGAAATCTGAAGGGTCGAGATTCAGCCTGAAGTGAACTAGAAGGGCGAGAGAGAGAGAAAAGCGGGTACAGAAAAGCGGAACTGGTAGAGGTGGGAACCCATTTCTGTCAGTCTCTGATTGGCGGTGCCAAGCACCGACGTGGATGGATGGCAGACTCGTAGTATTAGTGGAGCTAGGCTTTGAAATCGGAACTGGTACAGGTGGAACTAGTAGAGGTGGGAACCCATTTCTGTCAGTCCTGATCGGCGGTGCCAAGTACTGGCATGGATGGATGGCAGACTGGTAGTATTAGCGGAGTTGGGCTTTGGAATTGGAACTGGTAGAGGTGGGAACCCATTTATGTCAGTCCCCGATTGGCGATGCCAAGCACCGGCGTGGATGGATGGCAGACTGGTAGTATTAGTGGAGCTGGGCTTTGGAATCGGAATTGCTAGAGGTGGGAACCCATTTCTGTCAGTCCCTGATCGGTGGTGCCAAGCACCAGCGTGGATTGATGGCAGACTGATAGTATTAATGGAGTTGGGCTTTGGAATCGGAACTACTAGAGGTGGGAACCCATTTCTGTCAGTCCCCGATCGGCGGTGCCAAGTGCTGACGTGGATGGATGGCAAACTGGTAATATTAGTGGAGCTGCTTTGGAATCGGAATTCGCCGGTCAGAGATGTCACCGTCGCACTGGTTCATTCTCTTATTCGTTCGAACGAAATCAATGGACAGAAGAAGGTAAAATTTTATATTGATTTTATCGTAAACTTTCCCCTGATTCTCGATGAATATATTAACAGGAATGGACTTTTACACCATAATAACACCTCTATCAAATGCCTGCAAAATTGAATTGGGGTGTAAAATTTACCCCGATTCTCATTTACACTTTAAACAAACACAGCCTAAATTGTGATAACTGAATAATTATTTTTGCTTTTTGAAATATTCTTTTTAACTTAGTTTGGAAAGAGTGCAAATGCAAATATATATATAATGCAAAATCTTGTATATTGTATTTTTAAATCTTGCATTTACACTGTTTATATGTGCATTTGTATTCCTTCCAAACTAAGCCCTCGTTACAAAGGAAGAGAATGTAAATGATAAGATAAACTTATGAAATTCTACCAAATTACCTACGTACCTCATAGTAACCCTTCCAGATACCAACTTGAAAATTCTACACACTTTCTTTCTCTTGTCTTTTCCAAAAAGATAAAACTCTGTGGAACTGCAAAATGAACCAAAATCAACAATCAAATCAATTTCAATCCTTTGATTAGCAACTTGGTTAGCAATCCAAAAATACACTTAAATGGCATCGAAAGATTAATCTTGCTAGCCTGGGCTGCTGGGGAAGCCCACAACATTTCTCTTAACTTTAGAGGTATACCGATCATTATCGAAGATGATTTCAAGCTCGTCATTGACTGTATTCAGAAGATGATGACGCCCCGTGATGAATGTTGCTGTCTGAGCGTGCTGCTGGATTAGAGTGTTAGGCTCGGTTTGAAAGGAATACAAATGTAAATACATAGAGTACAAAACCTTATATTTTATATACATTTATACCGTACATATTTGTATTTTCCAAACTGAGTCTTAGCTACCTTCATGTATATTGGGAAGCTAATCAGACAACAAACTGATTAGCTTTTGGTGGTCTGTTAATGAGCCACCTCGGTCGCTTGTTTTTATTTGCTTCAGTGATGTTTGGGGACTTGCTTTGGACTCTAGAGTCTGAATCTGCTGTGTCCGAGTGTATGTCCAATGCGGTACTGTACTCAATAGCAATGCTACAATTGTCCTCAAATTCCTGTGACATTCGGTTGTGTAATGACTAGAGGGTGCTGTAGTTGTTGTTGGTTTTATTTTTTCTTTTTCCTTTTTTACCTTTCTATCATTTTTAGACTCACACAAACCCTTCCTTCTCTCTTCTCTATTTCTTTGCCCACACAAGTTATCCAAATCCGTATGGCTCCATTTCTTTCCTAAAGTTTGATAATTGCAATCATTTTTATTGAACTTTTTGACATATTTGCAAGTCGATCCCTTTTGTTAGAATCCTCTAAAAAGAGGTATGAATGTCCAAAATATTATTTTTGACCAAAATTTTTATTTTCTAATTTCTCTTCATTTGAATAACTAGTCCAAACTTTTCCAACCTTTTTGTTGAAATTGATTTATTTTCCAAATTTGTCATTCATACCAATCGCTCAAAAGTATTGCTACATCTTTAAATTCTCTTTTTCTTGTTATTTATAAAGTTTGTATTGTATTTTCTATAGAAACCAACCTCAATAATAACTGCATTGGTATTTTGGACATTTGTGTACCTATTGTTAGAGAATTCCCAAAAGAGTCTACTTGAAACAGTATCAGAAAGTTCAGGGTAACCGAGTGCAATTATCAAACATTGGAGGAAGTTTCAACAATTTACCCTATACACTATATATAATATAATATGAATTGCAGGCTAGGTCTAAAGTATTGGGCCCAAGCCTGAACCAAATAATTAGGCTGGGCCGGATTAGAAATGGGAACCCTTAAAATTGAAAATCTTCCTTTTGAGAAGGCCGAATTGCATGTTATCATTAAGAGATTGCCATATGATACACCCTCTTTCTTTGAAACTTCCCTTTCCTCGAAATTAAGCAAATAGAAAGGGACAAAAGCTGCTAAAATAACAAACAATAGTATTATTATTTCTTTGCTTGTAAATGGAAGAAGCAATAACAACAGATGAGATGAAACTGGGGAAGGGCTCGGGGTGCAATTTGGGCTGAATTAGTTAGAACCCAACTTGTACCCAATTCGAAAAAGCTGAGTTGGGTTGTCTGATTGACGTTCAGATTAGGATTAGGGTTGAGAAGTATGAATTCGACTTAAATTCAGTTGGATTAAGCTTGGGGTTTTACCAACCCGGCCCAATCCAAATCCAATATGTCTTCATACCGGACAGAACAGTTCCGAACTCTGGTCCATAGGAAATCAGGCTGATACACGTCTATAGTCCTATGTGCCCAGACCAAATTAAGGCTTCCAAGAAATCAGACCCTTACAGTTACAGCTTTTATTTATGAGCCGGGGGGGGTCTAGCAGAATCAATCTGACTGACCAGTGACCACCCATTTGATTCACCTCCTTCAAACTCGTTTTATCATCCTATAAGCTGCAACTCAGAAGCTCGGCCGAGTTAGCTCATTTTGCAACTCGACTTTTACTATATTCAGGTAATTCATTTTTCCCCATATACAACGTTCCTACATGTTGGTATTCTGAGTTAGGGCATGGGCTAGGTGGAACAATGGACTAAAAGGAGGGATAGGTTTAAAAACTTCACTATAAAGTAAAAATAAAGATCGAGTTAACTAGCTTTGCCTGACTCACCATCTTAAACGACTCAGCCAAGCTCCAGTGAATCGTTAACACTTGTCTCACAAACACTGTCAACAAGCAGCTTCAAGAAAATGAGAAATTTCATGAGAACTGCTTACCGGTTTACGTCGTCCGCCTCTAAAAGGCGTGACCCGAGTGCACCTTGGTGTATCATCGATCTCCTCCTCCTGCACCTGTTCGAATTTGGATGTTTCTTCTCTTTCATGCTCTTCCTTGTTTTTTACCTCCTCCTCCTGCTTTTCTACTTCTTCATCTTCAGATTCTTCCAAAGAGGGAACTTCTGAGACCCAACCCATTGACAACCCTAACCTGGAGAACTAGCTAGCCATGCCATCCTTTTCATCAGCACTATTCTGAAAATGCAATGTCAATTCTGGTACCCAAAAACACGTCTCCCATAGTTGAACCATGGGTTCGTTGATCTACACCAACACTGTTTTGACAGTTAGTAATGAACCCCCCACCCCCACCACCATCACCACTTGGGTGCCATCTTGTATCTCCTATTTGGAGGGGTGCCAAGTTACCATCTGATCACTCAAAAGTCAAAACTTTTGAACTTTGGACTGTCCGTGGAGACTGGAGAGCCAGGAATTTTTGTGGGCTTAAAAACTCAAAAAAAAAGATAGAAAAGGAAAAAACATCAAAAAAAGTATTTTCACCATGTACTTTGGGCCTAATGACACTTTGGTCCCCAAACTTTAAAATACGATAATTCAGTATCTAAACTTTTAAAATATGTCAATTTAATACCTCTCGTTAATCAGCCCATTAACCAGTCGTTAAATGGCATTTGAAAAGGATGAAAATGTCCTTCAAGTGTCATCTAATTCTCTTTATCAACCATCCAAAAGTTGATAAAAATGAACAGTCTCAAATCCCTGCCTTTTGGCCCTCTTCTATGTAAGAAAGCTGGGGTCACCACTCACCAGAATGCCCATTGAGACGTGGCCTCAACTTTCTTGAATAAAAGAGGCAAGGATTTGAGATTGTTCTTTTTTTTTTGTCAATGTTTGGATGGTTGATAAGGAGAATTAGATGGCACTTGAAGGATATTTATGTCTTTTCAAATGCCACTTAATGACTAGTTAACGACAGGTACTAGATTGGCACGTTTTGAAAATTCGGGTACTGAATTGTCATGTTTTAAAGTTTGGGGACCAATATGGCACTAGGTCCAAAATATAGGTTACTAATAGAGAATTTTCCCAAAATTATAAGAGGCATCCCATGCTTTATGCTATTAATAAAGTTTGGTATCTTTATTTTAGTGGGTGAAATCTTTATGTATTTAAATTGATCATACATTTTTTATTTGAATGGGATTAATTTTGAAAAAAAAAAGAATTTAAACTTAATATAAATTGTGAATAACCATTTAAGGATTTTAGAAGCCAAACGGTTTCAATTGCTCACCTTCATGACAATGTAGTTCTGTCTATAGAGCTGTGTGAAAAAAAAAAAAAAAGCCAAAAAGCATTTTGATCGACTACCTAGTAAAAGTTAATTTTGAAAAATAACAATGTAAAGCCAAAACACTTGGGCCCCAAAACAAAAGCCTAAAATTGGTACTTGTGCTTTTTAGGTTTTAAAATCACAAACCTTAAGTTTATCCAAAACGAATCTGGATCACCTATCAACAAAATACATTCCAACACCCTACCAATAACAAATGACATCACACATCTCATACACGACAGGTCCCACTTGTATGGTGAGCCCCAGTTTTATAAAGAGATGTATGGTATCAGATTAAGTTGATAGGGTGTTGGAACTTGTTTTATTGACAGGTGATTCCAATTCATCTAAAACACGACCTCATTTGTTGGGAGCATGACAAGACCGCAAGGCCAATGGAAACCAAATGCTGAATTATGCGCAATAGACCTAGATTTGGTTAGGAAGATTCCACAAGGCTCATGGACGGAACAAGCATTTTTGAGAATATTTTTTGGCAAGCAGATAAGCTAACCAGAAGCAGTGTATATATAAATAGGGTCAAAATAGCACTGCTCACAGACTGGCATATATAATATGCATCATCCGAGGAGCCAAACAGTACTTAATTAAAATCAGCACCGTGGTTTAGACTTAGATGACTGCATTTGCTTTTGCTATCCTAATATATAAAGGAGTAGTGCCTTATCTTTTTCCTGGAAAAAATATATTTGTGAAAGCTAAAAGGTGCGATGGGATAGCCCTTCCAAACAAAGGACAACAGTGGACCTTGCTTCCTAGAAATTGTGTGCAAATTCTGGGTACCAATAGCCAGCCTAATAAAACAAATAAATCTAAAAAAAAACAAAAATAAATTAAAGGTCGAAATGGACTTAGTCATAACTATTTTCCTGGATAAACAACCATGAAAAATCAATTTGGGGCCCATTTGGGAGGCTTAAGCTTATATATTGACCTGCTTAACAATAGGGGCTAATCAAGGAGTAACAACTAGAAAGAGCCAAACAACCACTGGTAAGAACTTGGGGTACTTTTGTCGTTGCGAAGTGGACATGTCTGTGTTTTATTTTATCAAAACACTGCTTTTCAGCTTTCCATGCATGCGGCATGCCTCAAAATTCATGAAAGCTGAAAAGCTACATTAGAGCAAACCTCCACATTGTTCAAATTGGCAAGCAGGGAAGTTAATTAAAGCTTCTTAATAAATGACCTCTTCTAGCAGAGCCTGAGTCCATAGATGTTCACCAATTCACGTAACAAAAGGTAACGAAGTCAAGCAAATGTATTCCCAATATGGGTGCCAATGGACCGGTTTTGGGTTGGTTTCCATCTAGATAGAAATCAATTTGGATGAATTGGATAGACCAATAACACATTAAAAACTTTTGCCAAAAACTCTTCTCCGCCATGGATCTTAAAATACTACTGTATCAATTGGCCAAACAGGATTCTTGGAACCCACTCCTATAGAATTGGAACAAAGCTTAGATGATGATGATGATGAATAATTAGACAAATAGATTTTACATATGTCAATTACCATCACGCAATGTCCTTTTAACTTTAATGCATGTATAAATTTATGGGTGAGTTTTGATGGGTCAAAACTCTTTTCATATCTTATCTTTTTTGCATTGTAGATTTTCCTTTTTTCTATTTAAGTT